CCCCAAAACCCCAAAACCCCAAAACCCCAAAACCCCGAAAAAACTTTTAAAAATTGAAAATCAGTTAGTCTCCAAAATTATCAAAAATTGGAACATTTTGATGGAAAGTTTACCATTCATTGAGAAGTACAGACCTAAGAAGATAGATGACCTGATTGGCAATGAGAGTGCCAAAAAGACATTCAGAGGGATTATAAGGGAAGGAAGCATGACTAATCTCCTCCTATGTGGCCCGCCAGGCACTGGTAAAACCACCTCTATTCATATCTTAGCAAAAGAGTTACTTGGGAAAGACTATAAGTACCATTTTTGTGAACTAAATGCTAGTGATGACCGTGGAATTGACGTTGTAAGGAACCAGATCAAGTCATTTTGAAAGAAAAAATCCTTCCTACCAGAAGGAAAACATAAGATGATCATCCTTGATGAGGTTGACTCCATGACTGAAGCTGCACAACAAGCTCTAAGAGTTATCATGACTGATTACTCAAACACAAGATTTGCACTAGCTTGTAACGACAGCAGCAAGATCATTGAACCAATCCAAAGCAGATGTGGAGTCATCAGGCTTAGAAAGGTAGAACAAGATAAAATGACAGAGAGATTCATTCAAATCTGAGAAAAGGAAGAAGTCAAGTACGAAAAAGAAGGCATTGATGCCTTAGTTTTCTGAGCAGATGGAGACCTCAGAGCTGGGATCGGCTCTCTCCAAGCCACTGTGTCTGGATTCGGAGCAATCACTCAAGAAACTGTGTTTAAAGTTGTTGATCTCCCCCAGCCTGAGGTTTTAAAGAAAGTTTTAATGGCCTGAATTCAAGGTAAATACTCAGAAGCTGTATCCCAGATTGACAAAGTGCTGAAGGAAGGCTACAACATGGTAGATGTGATTGGCACCTTCATGAAAGTAATACAGCAGGCAAAGATAAGTGAAGATAAAAGATTAGAGTTTCTTTCTCTCGCTACAGCCTTGAAAATGAAGATCTTGCAGGGTCTTGACTCTAAACTGCAGTTTCATAGCTTGCTAGCACAATTAAGTTAGTTTCAATAATTTCTTAACTGATGGGGTTTTGGGGTTTTGGGGTTTTGGGG